CTTCCTCCCCCCCCCCCCCCATCCACCCCCACCCCAAGAGAATAGTCGTTTAAATGATTATTGATGGAGAACACAACGCTCAACACATCCTTTTGGTTTTGTTGAATTCGTACCATTATACCTGTTACATGTATTCATTTTATCTCAGTCGTTGGATCAGGCCTAATTATATATTGGCTGGTTATGCACAAAATTTTCATTTAGGATCCGTTTGATTGTAAAGATGAAATTTGACTAGAAAAAAACAAATTCTAGGAAATTAAATTGTCTAAAAATTATTTTTTTGGAATTGTAAATTATTGTGTTTGATTGATATAATTTTCTACGTGAAAAATGTTGAAATAAAAGTGTTTTTTTGGTGTTCATTTGGCTTTATTTTACATGAAAATTGTTAATTGAAAGGATAGATTTTACTGGTATTGGGGATGAAATTTGTTTTCATTACCAAAAAAAAATAATAAGAAAATTATCTATCTTTTAGTGTTCGTTTGACTTTGTTTTACATGAAAATTATCAATTAAAGAGAAATATTTTTTTACAATAATTTTTAGAATTTGTTTCCATTTCCGACAAATAAATAAAAATACCTGGAATTCCATATGGTGAGAAAACGAATTCAATGAAAAGTAAGAAATGGTCACCGTCTGAAGTAAAAATGGAATTCCAATTGCTAAGAAATAAATGCTTATCAAACACTAACAAAAGTGTGAATCAAACGAACCCTTAAAATATTCACTTTTGTGGTTTTACTCACATATTTTTCTAAATTCACTTGGGTCATTTACTGGATCATTTGTTGTTCGATACACTAAGGTGTGCTTAATTGCAATAATAGAATTTACATGGAAAGAAAAAAAAAACTCTAGACAATTAAATTGCTGAAAACTTATTTGCATAAAAATTGTCAATTAAATATGTTTGATTGATAAATTCTCAATTTAGAAAATGTTATACTTGTTTATTTTTTATTGGTGGGTAGATGAGAAAAGGGGAAGGTAGATGAGAGAGAATTTCTTAGGACCTGTAAATAAAAATCTACGCTCTTTAAAAAAAAAAATTTCTTATTTTCAAAGAAAATATAATCATGTAACCAAAAGTAGAAAAATATTGTCTATGGAAAAAAAATATCAATCAAATAACACAAAAGTAGGAATTTGAGTAGAAAATTGATATTTTTTTTTGTAACTCTTTTTCTTTTTTAGGGTTAAGCAAGTGAAATATAATTAGTATTGGAATCGATGAAGAGTACAATAACTCAAAGCCCCTTTAACCCTTTGTCCTGTGCTTATCCCTCTCCCTTTCCTTTCCCCAAGTCCCCATTTCTCCAATTTCGATGTCTCTGAAGTTGAAAATCATATTGTTTACTTCTCTTTCATCATCTAACTTGTTGTATGCCTTCTCAATTCAATCACATATTGTTTTATTAAGGATCACAAAGGACGGGACGGGATAGGTCGCATTCTCGTTTTCCATCCCGTTAGATATTTCTGTCTCCTTGCCCACTCTCCGTACCCTGTTAAGGCTGGGGCAGGTCGGCTGCCCCATTTAATTTGTATTATTTCTTTTTAATTTTTTGGCCGATGAAAATCATTACTTTATTTTTTCAAATTGTAGAAAAATCCATGTTTCTTCTAGAAATTATGACGATTCTTTTCATTGCAATAATAAAAAAAAAAAAAAATTTTGAAATGAACTTTAAACGGGTCAGTTAATGAGATGAGGACCATGTTCTCGGTATCTGCCCAGCCTTATCTCGAGACACAACAACCTCTATCACAATCCCGTCCAAGTGTGCACCTAACAAGTTGATCAAATAATCCATTTTGGACCTGCTTCAAATTGCGTATTCTCTTGTGACCTACTAAGCCTCAATTTGGCCTCCTTTAAATTTATAATTTATTTTTCTCTCTTTTTCCATCAACCACACATTATTCAATAAAACGATATTACACGTAAATCTAAAAATCTTTCTTCTTTTTTAATCACATATTTTTAAAAAAAAAAACACTCTTTAAAAAATATAATTTCAAATAATGGAGGCCAAATGAGGATGGATGCAATGTAACCATAATTTTTGTCAACAACATAACATATTAATTGCAACAAATATTTCTCTTTGCTCTCCCAATTTTTCCCGTCAAATTCTAGTCATCATTTTTCTATTAATTGGCACAACTAGTCTCTCGTGACGATATTTGTCCAAAATTCTTAGGAGGTCGTAAAAATAATTATTTGCCTCTCCTTTTTTCAAATAATCAAAATAAATAAAAATATAAAACTTGTACAAAATATTTGAACTTCATCTCAATTTATATTAGCATCATATTTAGTCATAATTCATTATTGGTGATTAAAAAATGCTAAATGATTGAAAGTTAAAAGTAAAAATGCAATGAAAAAATTTTGAGGACACAAGTGTAAAACGAGCAAATATATAGAACTTTAATTACGATTAAAATGTGGTGCAGATAATTAAAATTGTAATGCTAATAAAGTATCTTTGACTGAACTCAATATAGTATTAGAGCATATGAATTTAAACAAGTAATTCAATTCGTTCAAATGTAAAATTATTAAACGAATCTTCTATAACCAGGGTAATTAAAAAAGCCACTATCTTGTATGTCATGTTCTCTTCACAAGATTAACTTTTCTATGATAAAATTTAAACATCAAGATTCAGCAAAGCTATATGTAACGATGTGAATAAATAAAAAATAAACTAATCGATAGATCATACTTTCTTCATTTACTCTACCTCATACTTCAGAGTTGAGATTTGTTATCCCATTCACTGTCCCATCATTAAAATATTAACAACCCCTATATCGAACATTAGATTGGGAGAAAGAATGAAACTTGTTAAGATTGTTCACACCAAAATTTGGACCTACTTGAAATTGGGTATTGTCTTGTGACATACTTAAACCTTTGTTTGGCGCAATATAATTTATAATTCATTTTTCTCTCTCATCTTATCAACTGCACATTCTTAAATTAAATGATACTACATGTAAACTCAAAACTTTTTTTTCTTTTTTAATCACACATTCTTTAAAAAAAATACTACTCCAAAAATTATAATCTCAAATAATGGAGGGCAAATGGGGGCTAAATAAGATGGATGCAATGTAACCATTATTTTTGTTAACTACATGACATATTAATTGCAACAAATATTTCTAATCTTTGCTCTCCCAATTTTTTCCCATCAAATTCTAGTAATCATTTTTCTATTAATTTGCACGTCTAGTCTCTCATGTCGATTTTCGTCCAAAATGTTTACGAGGTCGTAAAAACACTTATTTCTCTCTCATTTTTTAAATAATTGAAATAAATAAAAATATAAAACTTATACAAAATATTTTCATTTCATCTCAATTTATCTTAGCATAATATTTAGTCATAATTCGTTATCGGAGTTCTAAAAAAACTGTTAAACGATTGAAAGTTAAAGATAAAAATGCGATGAAAAAAATTTGAGGACATAAGTGTAAAATGAGCAAATATATAGAACTTTAATTACGATTAAAATGTGGTACATTTTAATTAAAATTGTAATGTTAATAAATTATCTTTGACTGAACTCGATATAGCATATGCAAATTTAAACAAGTAATTCAATTCGTTCAAATGTAAACTGATCAAATGAATCTTCTAAAACTAGGGTTATTAAACAAGCCACTATCTTGTTTGTCATGTTCTCTTTATGATAAAATTGAAACCTCAAGATTCAATAAAGCTACATTCAACGACATAAGTAAATAAAAAATAAACTAATAGATAGATCATACTTCGCTCATTTACTCTTGCTCATACTTCAAAGTTGAGATTTGTCATCCCATTCACTGTCCCATCATCAAAATATTAACAATTCAGTATGTAGGGACGAAGCTAGGGATTAATGTTACAGAAGGCCAAAAATTTTAAGAAATTAATGTATGAATAAAATTCATGTATAATAAGAAAAGTCGTAATATAATATTACCTATTAAGTTCTTTCTGATGATATAAAATCTAAGAGCATAAAAAACAAAGACCTCAGTATCGTAACAATCCTTTAAAAAATAAAAAATCCACCAACAACAATCAAACTACTTATATAACAATTCAAAAATATTATAATTAGTCAACAATCTGACACCATAATCCTAAATCAACACATACTCAAACGTAAAATGCAATTTAAGGTATTAAAGGTCGAGTGAAGTACTTGCTTGCGTAGTTCGTTGCAGTGTCAAGGTGAATGAGAAATTAGAGCCACCATAAATTGAAAGCTTTTCAATGCTTTCAAAACAAACCAAAACCTGTATATAAATTTTGAACAGAAAACCACAAGGGATAAATTATTAATTAAAAAGTGTGAGTCTGTAACAAATAAAATTTTAAACATAAACTTATAAAACCCCATAAACATTAACCAAAAACCATAAAATACGAATACACTATAATTTAGAGGAAGGCAAGAAGCAAAATGGTACAACCACACATCAGAATTTATTTGAATACTAGTCTATTGCATGTGCAATGCACGGGCTTTGTTATTTCAATGATAATGTTAGTATTTCAGGAAAACAGATTTATACCTTACTTTTTTGTGTCTGTGTGACTTCTTACACATTTGATGCATAATATAGCATTCTTTTATGTACTTTAAAAAACTTCAATACCATCGATGACTACTGACTATTGTAATTCAAGTTCATTCTTGTTGGAATAAAAAAAAGGAAAATCTCAAATTTATAAAACAAAAATACCTCTTTGTTATACGGGTTCGATTGGATGAACGGATATACATTTTGAACCTTCAATCATGTCCACAGTGGAACCGCTCTGTTTGTAGACAAGCTTCCCATTTTTAACCACAACTTTATATGATTCTCACTCTTTCTGTTGGAGGAATGATAATATGTGTTCCTGAGAATGCTAGCCAATATGCTCTAATTAGTTCAGTACTTTACATTATTTGAAAAAAATAAATTCAAGTGCAATGTCTACTCTTGAGATTGTTAATACTTTCAATGACTTGAAACTTGCTGGTCCCAGATATTTTATGCATTGCCATTGCAAATTGTCCTGTGAGCACTTCTCAAGATTTGATACTTTTCCATCTCAAACATCCAACCTTTACATTAAAGAACAAATGTTGCAAGAATAAGTCAGTAAGAAATATTTTGTTCATTAAAATATCATGAAAGGAGAAAGTTTTGAATGCACTTAATAGTTATAAGTTTCTACTCTCATAATTGTTCCCCAAACATCAAACCAAATAAGGTATCAATCTTGGGTGCTCATAGGAAAAGAAATGCTATGGCCTTTCTCTTTTGAACCAGATATTGCAATAGAGATGTAAATTGTGCCAATATCTACTGTGAGGATCAATCTACAGTAAACAATGATAATTAATATCACAGACCATTTTGAAGCAAATATATCAATGGTTCAGATTTGTCTTCTATCACTTTAGAATGAATGGAAGCTAAAATTTGGATAAAAGCAAATTCCAAATCTAAGAATCACTTAAATGGTTCAGAGGACTTACAGGCTTCAAGTTAGCACTGCATGGAAAGTTGTTGAAACTTCTCATCCTTAGGCAATCTCTTTCCAACCTGCAATTGCACAATATTAATCCCTTCATAGTAGAAATTTAATAGAACAAGTAGAATAGAAAAAAAATAAAGCACAGAAACTGAATAATCAAACAAAATTGATATGGAAAAGATCGATCAACTAGTTGGAGGATTACAAGATCTACCATCTTCATGAGACCTTCAAGGCCAGAATCGTTCTTCATGTTGACTCCGTGGATATAGAAGTAATCGGCACAAGAGAGCTCATCTGAGCTAGAAGGCTCTAGCATGTGCTTGATCTCATAACAAAAAGCACCGCCATACACTGCCAACAAAAAATATAAGAATTCTTGTCGATGCAATTTGTTTGGAAGCGATAAGGGACAGACCATAATATTCCTACACTTTAAGCTGAAAAGGGGTAAAAGGGGGCAAAAAATATTCCATTATTGACATGAAACTATCAGTTCTTTCCCAAGAATAACGAAGAATATGTTCACGAATTGATAAAACAAATTTTCTTGAGATGGGTCTAAAAAAATTCTTGAGAGAGTCGTAACTCTAACTGTTTTGAGAAGCCGATTGTGAATCAAAGAACGATGCAATGATTCCATTGTTTCTTCTCCAAGAGGATCTTAAGGAGACCACAAGTCTCTTTGGAGATCCGACAAAGGGAAAGGGAAAAGGAATGGTTAGGGCTACTTTCCATCTAGTAGCATCAGAGAGGCGTGTGAGAGAAGATTTTTGTATGAGAGCTTTTAATGTACGCCCATTTGTAACCAGTTTGTGAATGGTAGAAAACAGTCAAGTGTGAAAAGGGGAACCATAAGAATGAACATTGAACGCCTATTCCCTCTTTTATTTAGTATAATGATATATCTAACTCAGATAACAAAAAATTAATCTTCGAACTTCAAAGGATCATCTAAATACACACTAATATACAAGGCAATATTCTGAATCACCTTCGAAGTAAAGTAACAAGTACTCTTAAAGTACAATTGTACACAAATCAATATTCTATTATTCTTTTAGCATACCAAATGTGATATACGCATATAAATTTTGTAAATATCGTCTAAGATTTGTGATTTATCTAAAAGCATCATGAATGTGCATGTCATTGTAAAATATCACCATATAATAAAAATCCTCTCTCTTAAGAGCTTAAATATTTATTAGTGAATTCATCTCAAAGGCATCATGGGTGTGCATCATGTCATACAACTTTCAAAAATTTTGTGCAAGTCAACATGAACTGACAATAATTTGGGGGCAGCAATGTTTTGTAATAACGGTTAAATTTATAACAATTAAGGTAATGTATACATCCTATTTGCTATCCTCTGTCTGAAATTGCCTCGTAGCTAAGTTTTCCAATTGTCAGCATTCATAATTGCAGCTATAGCAGCTTCATCAAGAATAACAAGAATACTGTTTAGTTGTTCGAAAGCACAATAGAACCACATTTGTTATCGGTACCTAAAAATGAAAGGATCTCCATTACCTGAATATTAAGGATATTGGTTGTTTTAGCAGCATTGAACTGATAAGAATTGGTTATAGGGATCTGCATTCTCTCTCAAATTATAGAATCTCCAAAGATATCTTTATCAACTAATCTATAAACATTCCTGGTGATTGGACCTAACATCAATTCAAAACACCACCGAGTTTAGTTTTAGTAATAGACAAACTATCACAAGAAATGTATAATTCAAATTGCGCACACTATAACGCAAAAGAAGCTCGTTTGAGAGAAATACCCGACTTATTCCAGCGATATAAGTTTTCTCCTCAAACCTCCTTACTGCTTTTTTATGTGTTCCTGTATTCCCTCTTCTCCTGAGAAAGGAAGGTGCCTCTTGAAGGTGTCAATACTATGCTTTTGAAGCATCATAATATTTATACATTAATGACACAATAGGTACTAAACGCAAGAATCTGTAGTAAACTAAACTATGCGACTATAAAGCACTCTAAATTTTGACCCCGTTAGATTTTTCTAGTAAATTTATTAATTGACATAACTATTAGGTGAATTCAAATACTAAGCATTTAGTGCAACTTCTAATTCTCATCCTCAATATTAAGGTCAAGAATTTTAATGTTTCACATCAAATGCTTTAAGCAAAATGGCAATTTTCCAAAGAAGAAATCTATTTTAAGAAAGGTAACATTATGCCTAGAAGCCATAGAAGGATGCGAGTCCATCAAATCCTAGACAAAAGTAGTATCAACCTAATTGTTAACCAATAAACCAACCCACTTAATCATTAAACCAATTAATTAAGAATCCAATTAACCCAACCCAACAATAAAATAGAACCCGATACAACCATCACTCAAACCCGTAAACAACCACTGCAGCCCTCGACGACGCAGGCGACTCCCACCGATGATAAACCCAAGCTGCAGCCACTCAATCCCGTCGACGACGCCTCAGTGACCGGTCTTTCCCCTAGTAAACCGGCGCGACGCTCCCATCTCCTTGAAACGCTCCTCGTCGACCAGCTGCTTCTACAGTTTCCAATGGTTTGGTATGAATTATGGGTTTGGGGGCTGGGTTATTAGTTATTGGGTTTGGTCTGTCAATTTTCGAGGTGTGAATGGGGAAGAGGAATCTTGATGGTTTTGCTACGCTTGGTGATTATAGGTTGTCAATTGGACCAACCTTTGCTGCTGGAAACGATTCAGAGAATTGGGCAACTCAGTGCGTGGTCAGAAGGGGCGGCGGTTTTGGATTTTGCAGTGAAAAATTCCCCAACCTGGGTTGATTGCGTAGTTGGGTTGGTCGGCTTGCAGGGTGAAAGAAACCACTTTGCTGTCTGTATTACTGTTTTCAGCAGCGGGGCAGCAACGGAGTCTGTATATTGATGGTGCGTGAATTGCTGTCCAGGGTTTGCTCTGATACCAATTTGATGTAGGGAGATTACTGAATTAGTAAATAACAAGAAGGGAAGGGGAGGAGAAGAGAAGAAGAAGACAGAAACGAGGAGGAGGAGAGAAAACGGCCAAGCCAACTTTATAATTCTTAATCAATTCATCAACTGAGAAATTACAAACCAATGATAGGTTTAAATAATGAAAACCTAGAAATATAGGGCCAAGCCCATTATTCAAGTCCTAATTAAAATACGTAAACTTAAATAAAAGTCCAACTAAAATACTGAAACAATAATAAAAGTCCAACTATAAAGGATGTCCTCATCAGAACTGACCTGTAAAGAATATATAATTACCTTTACACCCATTATCCCCAAACATATCCAAAGTAGAAACTGAAAATGTACAATTATCACCTAGGAACAAGTACATATCACCCAAATTAGTCACTTGACCCATTTTTCATATTTTCATCCGACCTAAAAACTTTGAACTTCACCGTCCTCTAGCTCATATAACAATCAAATTCCACATAGAACTTAAAATCCTCAATGTATCCCAAATCATCCTCAAGACCAACAGTCAAATACTTATCGATTAACAACAGATTATTTTGATCATCTCATTTTTCTATTTCTCCATGTTAGAATTTCAATAAAATACTCAAAGTAAGTAATACTTAAATACAGATTACAAATACACACATCATATATTGCAAAACCATCACACAAACTTAAATTGTCTTTGAAATTTTAGATTATACAAAGATGAACTAAGCAGCAAAAATTCAAGAAACCAACATACATAGTTCATTATTTGCATATGAACCTTAGTAATAGCAAGCTTTGCACTGCTCTACATCCATGATCATTGCAGAAAGAATATGGCTGTAAAGGGAAGCAATGCTTTTGGCCTTTGCCAGTACAACTGCGATATAAAAGTGAATAATGTTTGAGAAAAGAGAAGCGTACCCTATAAAAGCACCATCCTCCATTGTATGCATCGGAAAGCAGTCCATTGCGCATCGCTAGTAGTACCGCCACCCTCCGTTTTGCACCTTGAAGAGTTGGAACTTGGAACTGACAATGGAAAAATGGTAAGAACAGGAAAATATATACACAAGAGAAAGAAATTAAACAAAGAATACACAACAAGAATATCAAAGCAATGATTTATCAAAAGATCGAACGAAAAAATTTAAAAAAAATAAATTGCAAATTCAACAATAGAAGTGAAGAAATCGTAACAAATATAATTGGCACTTCATCTTAAATTAGTTGGTAACCAATAAATTAGTTTATGTGAAAATCAAGAAATTGTAAAAAATACAGCTTCTAGAAATCGAGAGCTGCTCTTGAAAAGAAAGGGAAAGTAAAAGACAAAGGAGAAGGTAAAGCGTAGGAGTAATTTATGGGAATTGAATAATGAACAGTGCAAAGCTGAGTAGGTGTGAACACAAGGGTGTACAAATGAATAGTAAATGCAACATCCTCTCTTTTAAGAGAGTAGTGAATTGGAGATTAGAGGAAAAGAGGCCTCTGCAAACTGCTACAACTAAGCTCTCCAAATGTCCGACTCTGTGTCGATTTTTTCCAATTATTTGAAAATGACCTAAAAATATGTGATTGTGACCAACAATTTATTAAGTTGTGATCGAGAAATTATTTGTGACCCATTAATTTGATAATTTGTGGCCGTTAAATAAGTTGTAAATTATAAAATTTATGATTTTATGATCGATTAGATAAATTATGACCTATAAAATTATTTAGTTAAAATCTAGAAATGATTTACGATCTATCGAAATTTGATTTGTGACCGAAAAATAATTTGTAATCGATTAATTCGATAATTTGATCAAATTGTATAGAATTGTGACCTTAACATATTTAATTAATAAAATTTATCTTTAATTAATTATTCCATAAATAAAATATAATTAATATTCGATTTTTGAAATTTTAAACCATGTTTCTCAGTTTTGAAATAGGTTATACCGTTAACCATACAATTCCATTTTCAACTTCAAAAATCAGGTCATAGTTAATTTTTATTTTTATTTTTTCAAAAATCAAGTTATAATTATTTTTATAATTTAAAAACGAATATACCTCCACTCAAACCATGCCCACTCATGAACTTCAATAACCCACCATGTAAATATCTTCTCCCTAAAAACACACCCTCTCTCTACATTTTGAGAAAGTAAGCCTCTATCTACAAATTACTCACTCTACACACATATACATTTATATACAACCTATCTCTATCTATATTTTGAAAAACAAAGTCACACACACACTCTCTCTCTCTCTCTCTCTCTCTCTCCACACACAAACACAAACACACACACCCTCTCTCAATCTCGTCGAAGCCATTTACGGGTGGCCGTGTGGTGATTCTTGTGCTGGTGACTTTTTGTTAGTGCGATTTTATACGTTGGTGATGTTGTTGTTAGATCTGGGTGAGATGGTGATGCAATGTCGGACTATAAGATGGTGGTGTTGCAAATATATATTGTGTTTGTGCGAATTTGTGGTGTGGCATAGGTTGTGATGTTTTTGTGGTGATGGTGTTAATTTGTATTTGATGTAGATGTGGTGGTGGTCGTGAGTTGGTGGATTGGAGGAGGTGATAGTAGTTTGTGGTACAAGTGGGGCAATGGTGTTACAAGTAGTGGCCGTGGATGTGCATTACAGATGATGATAGTCATATTGATATGTGTATGTGATGGTGGTGTGCTGATAGTGGTTGAGTGTGTATGTCTAATTATTGGGTAATCCTAACCAATAAAATCAGAATTTATAATCAACAAATAATATGTGATCTAAAATATGTACGTTTTGTGACCATGATTTGTGTCTTTCTGGCCGATAAATAAATTGTAATAAATTAATTTTAATTTGAGATAAATTAATAATTTGTGACCTATAAAAACGTGTAATTTGCGAGTAAATTTATAATTGTGACCTACAATTGTAATTTTTTTTTGGCTGCTTTATGACTCTGTGACCCGTTTAATTAAATTATAGATGTCAAAATTTTAAGATGTCACAAAATCTAACAACCTAATGTTTTTTTTTTAAAAAAAAGAAAAAGAAAAAAAAAGAAATCATGAATGTAGAAAGAGAGAATGTGGGGTGTAAAAGAGAGAAAGGTAAAGGAATAATCCTCCTTGTACATTTCATTTTGTATATTGTGTTTGATATTGTATGCAAATTCAAATTGTCTTTGGCGAGAAAGTGTATTAAATTCAAAACATATTCAATCACGTGTCGACACGTGACACAATGTCAAAAATGATGTAAAGCACAATGTACAAGTAGCATGATTCAAGATAAAGTGAGAGGTGTAAGAGAGAGAAAGACGAAGGTGAGAGAAATAATTATTAAATAATATATATTAAAGAGAGAAAAAGAGTGAGGTAAGAGAGAGAATGAAAAAGAGTTGAGTGTAAAAGATATTTGAGTGAGTTTGAAATATTGTCCCTATGAATATTCTAAATTTCAGTTAGAATAACATATATTATATTATATTTAGCACCTGATTTATGAAATTTTTTTATGAGTTTGTTAAATATGAAATTGTACACTTAAAGTATTGAATTTATGTATTTTTTCCTATGAAATTTTTCCTTAAAAAATTGGTTTTAGAAATTGGGCTAGGCTAGTTGATTGTTGTTGGGCTATGGACTATATTTAAAAAATATATATTTTTTCATTTTATTGGACTAAGGCAGAAAAGGACTACAATCCTTATTGCCCCCTCATTTTCCCCATGCATCCACCCTCATGACTCAGTGAGCTATTGTTAACAAATAGAAAGAAGCCACATGTCTACTTATAAAAGATGTCAACTCCATATAATTCAATCCCAGTTTGTCATCCTTTAAAATTTTCAATTGTTCGCTATAAAATCATTATCTACTACATATTCATACAATAAAATATTTTACAGACAAATTAATGAAATTTCCTTACTTATTGATCATACATTATCCAGAAAATATTATTCAATAACTCATTATTCTCAAATAAATTCTATCAAACATGTCATCAATCTCGGGTGAAAAATAAAAATAAAACTCTAAAATAACAATATCTAATTTATGGGTTCTCAAGATTTTACACAACAAAGTAAGCTCTTGTTTGAGCCCCATTTTAAGGAAGAAATGTGTTTTTGAATAGTGATTTTTCGAAAAATATATAGCTAAAAAATAAGATTTTTTTTTATTTATGTAAAAAATTATTTTATAGGAAAATGTGTAATTAAAATGAGTTTTCAAAAAATAGACGAAACAGTAGCTAAGAAATTTACAGGCCCCGTAACCTATAGGTTGATGTGATGGGTGGCTGACTCATTAAATCACCTTCCCAAAATGGAGGTTGTTGGCTTGTGTACCCATATAATACATTTTTTTACAATAAATTATTTATTTATAATAAATAAATTGTGATTTTATTTATTTATTGCATTATTTATTATTTAGCATGTGAATTAAAGTGCATATAATCACTTGAGATAATATAAGTTGGGTACTTGCATTAAGAAGTACAGTGTGACACAACTTATATTTTGATCATAAATGATTTCTTCACCACCCATGTATAAGGGTTGACCCGTTGTACTGGAAGGTTGTAGTGTTGATCGATTCACTATTCAAGTTTGTGATTTGTCCTTAACTAAACGGGCCACGTGTCGAATTTAATTCATAGCATGACCATGTGGAAAATTAAATTCCGCTAGACCACTGCATATTTCATTTAAATCCCTCGACAAAATTATGTATATCTTTTCGTAATTGTAATAGTTCTTTGATTTATTAATGGGTAAGATCAATTTGATTAGTCAAATATCTCGATGAGTTGGGAATATGAGAATGAGCAAATTAGAGAACATGAATTCCTATTAGGAACCGTCACCTTAAAAAATGCGTAAAGTGGCTACTTAAATATTTTCTGTTAAACGGCTAAATTCTGAGTTTAGTGTTGGGCGACCGTTAAACTTCGACATATGTGATTAGTTCACAAGACCTTTAGAGAAAATAACTAGAAGAGTAAAACGGTCAGTTATGCTTGTACCTAATTATAGAATCTCGGATGGGAATGAAATACATAAACGATAGGTCTGAGGAAAGAATTACATATTTATTGGCTTCTGTGATCTTATACATTCCAAGAATTCAATCTTTTGCATTTTGTAGAAAATACAAAGACTAATAATTAGATTGGGTGGCCTAGGATAGACTAGACATGATCTAATTATTGGAGTTTGGATAATATATATCCGATCAGGTCCCTATAGTAGCCCCATAAAATATTGGAACTGAATTACGGTAATTATAATAGTTTTAGGCTTTTATAATTATAATTACTCAATTGTAATTACTATGAAAATTGTAAATTTAATTATAAATGAAATTGAAATTCTAGGACTACACATATAATTAAATGTAAACTAATTAGATTTGAAATTTAATTAAAACTCATATTTGGATTTTAATTAGAACTTTTATTTGAATGTGAAATTATTATTGTATAAGGATTGTAACTCTTCTATTGCTACAAGTTGAGATTAGATGGATCATAGACATCCTATGAAATTGTACAATAACAATAATACATAATTTCATGGTGTTCAAATTTGGATAGAGAGAGAAAAACATTTTTCTTGATTTTTTCAATTGTCCAATTCATTAATTAGTTTATTGATTTAATTAAAAGAAGGTGTCCACCCACCGATATAATCTTGACTTTGGAGAATACCATAGAATACTTGGAGATTTGAAGTATCAAGTTTTTGAAATTAAAAAAGGCTGAAAGTTCGTGATTCAAAATTAATTCAAGAATTGATCATCGAATTTAGATAAAAATTTGAATCCTTTATGTTCGATATAACATACATGTGAATATCTAGACGATCTTATTTATTGAATTAAAGAAATTTTTAATTTCTAGATAATTTCGCTTTTGTATTCCAATAGAGGTATGATAAGAGTCACTTTTCATCTGAATGTTTTGTAACATTTTCCCTAATAACGATTGCCAGGTGACGTAGGCACATCTCATCCTATTGCACTATGTCAAGATACTTTCTTTCTTGAACAATACTCTAATGATCAAATTTTTTGACATAATGACTGATCGACACTTACAATGAGGGCCCATTCCTTTTTTGGACTTTTTCATTCATGTGGACCCATCCTCATTTGAGAGGATGTCAACCATTATGTCAAAAAAATTGGACAAAGTAGTTTAAACCTTTTCCCAATGGGGTACTAGGAACTATGACCCTTGTGGGGTTGGTAGCCTAACGAACACATGACATGGGAGGTCTCCTTGATTTTTGGTCTCTATACATGGATCTTGATTAATAGAGTGTCATTGGCTTATTGTTTAAGACTTTAGTCGACTTCCATACGTGATTTCCTCTCAGACCTAGTGAGGCCTCACAATCTTTGAACATTAGCCCCTATTTGGTGGGGATTAAGATTAAATTTTTAGTAGCTTTTGATCAAAAGTTGATGAAATATATTGTTAAAAGGTTGTGGATCTTA